CCGATGTGCTATTGCAAGGCAGCGTGATGATTCTTGGCGGTAATTTTGGCAAGCGAATGTCACTTGCATGCCCCATTCGAGCAATTCTGGTCTACCGATAAGTACAGGTACAGGGAGACTGGGAGTGACCCAGGCAAAGATCTGCACCGTTTCTACGAGGTGAGGTAGAGATACCTCAAGGATTGTATACCCAGAGATGGGCAGAGGCTTTCCGTTGGCCCCGTAAATCGCTTGCGTCCGGTGCGGCTGACGAATGAATGGGGCCTCTGTAAGACGCACTAAGTTCACGTCTGCACCAGTATCAATAAGTGCTTTCCCTGCATTCGTTATTATCTTCGGGAGCGGACTCTTCATTGCGAAAATATTTGACTGTCACGGCCTTTGAGGTTGCTTTTTGCAGGAAGCACATCTCGTCCGTATGCCGGCCAGGTCCGTTAATGGTGCATTTCATTGTTGGGCGTACGAAAGAGGATCTCTTGTCCCCTAGAACAGACGGTTGGTGGAAGGTTGCCTGCCCGCGCCCTTTAATTCCCGCTATGCCTTTATCCTCATTGTCTCCCTTTCCTGTAGTACCAAGGCCTAGTGCTTCCAATCGTTGGATAAATTCCTCGACTTCGTCGATATGACAAAGCAATGCTCGTATCTCCCGAGGTAATCTGGCGCAGTATCGGTACAACATTAGTTTCAAGAACGGTTGCACAGGATAACCTTGTCTCTCGCAAATGATCATAATCGTTTTATTGACCCGTTTTAGCTCTTTAGCGGCATTCATACAGTCAATGGTCGTGATTTTGTTTGGTTTCTCTAGTACTAGATACAATGCACGAGATTTCGGGTATTGTCGATCCATGTAGGTTTTATGGGCCTCTGCGATCGTTTCAGCTTGAGAAAGGCCATAAATTTTGACGAGTTTCTTCAGGAGTATGTCCGGTGTGGTGCTGGTTTTGAATAACGCCTCTGCTAACCATTCATCCGTCTCCAATTCCGTCTCCGGTAATGGTGGTAGTGATATGTTGTTACTCATCGTTTCCGAAAGGATGTTCGTATTAGTCGATGTTCTGTTAGTGGCCGATGCAATTTCCTTGGTTAGCGCTGCCATGATCTTCTGATTTTCTTGTAGCATTGTGGCCATGAGAGTGAGAAGTTCTTGATTTGTAGCTGTCGCCATAATGTGAAGTGATGCGCTGTTAAAGATTAGTTATTGTCTAAAAAGTGTGTGCGCACACATTTCGCATAGCATGTTCCACATCAGATCGATGCTGTCAAGAACGCTGAGGTCCCTAGCGAGAAGCGCATCTCATCCCGAGATTTGCCGACCACACGGCGCCTTTGTTTGACCTGCTGAAGAAGGGGACTGTGTTTGCTTGGGGACCTAGACACCACAACGGGCCACAACTCATTAGTGCGTCGGTGTTTTCCACGTGCGGGTACCATCGTTGCGGTTCAACGTTGCTCGTGATCACGAATTTTGTGGCAAGTAGGTCCGTCATTGATCCTTTAATTGGAACTTTGATTGGATTCTCACTTAGCCATCTGAGCATATCACAATACTTCTCGGTGCCGTAGAAGTCATCAAAGATGACAAGGTCTTGACCGAAGTACCCGTCCCACCAATTTCCGGTGGGTTTGACGTAGAAGTTATCGCGTATGGAGCGGGCGGTGTGTGATTTTCCCGTGCCTGGGGGGCCCCATAGGACTATCACCTGGGGTTTTGGCCGAACGAATGACACTTTTTTTAGTTGTTTGTTGTACGCCGTCACTGCTGCGTGGTGTTTTAGCATCCACTCTGGCTCTTCCTCCCATAATTGTGCAATACTAATTTATTGCCACCAGCCTTTGGGTCTTGCGCATTCTGGTTTTTGGCCATCTTCGACGGGGGTTCCGACGCGTGTTTCTTCTTTGCTGCAGTAAGCGATTGATGCCGTGATGTCGTGGCATGTGTTTCACTCGGAACATAAACTTTATCCATGTATATTGTATCGGTAATTCGGCGCATGAGTGCATCAGTGTTTTCCACGTGTGGGTACCATCTTTGTGGCTCTACGTTGCTTGTAATGACGAATTTTGTGGCCAGTAGATCCGTCATGGATCCTTTGATTGGGACCTTTATCGGGTTCTCACTGAGCCATCTCAGCATGTCGCAGTACTTTTCTGTACCGTAGAAATCGTCAAAGATGACTAGGTCTTGGCCATAGTACCCATCCCACCAGTTGCCGGTGGGTTTCACGTAGAAATTGTCACATATTGCGCGCGCTGTGTGGGATTTACCGGTTCCCGGTGGTCCCCATAGGACTATGACTTGTGGTTTGGGCCGCACGAAGGATACTTTTTTTATCTGTTTGTGGTATGCCGTTACGGCTGCGTGATGTCGGAGCATCCAGTCCGGTTCTTCTTCCCAAAGTTGCGCGATACTAATTTGTTGCCACCAGCCTTTAGGTCTTGCGCATTCTGGTTTAATTGCGTCTTCGAAAGTGGTTCCGACCCGTGTGTCCTCTTTGCTGCAGTATGCTATGGACGCTGTTATGTCGTGACAGACTTCTACGTGGGTCATGCCACCGAATTCGCGTCTTACTGAGTCGAAGGAGCGCGGGTTTGTGAAGTACACGAATCCTTGGTAGTGGAGGCGTCCTGTGGAGGGGCACATCTCTTGCTGGTATATGATGTACTTGTATGTGGCGGGCACGGGACATTGTCGCCTATTCTGTTCGTCCATTGAATCGACCATACAAAGCTTCCAACCACCTGGAGCAATACCAGACACACGACACACTAGTAGGTATAATAACACCAAAGGCGAACTAACAAATAAATAAAAAGTGTGTGTATACAAACACGCGCAATAAAATATAATCGACAACACAACCAGCAGCGCTCCAGAGCATTCGTTTTCACGTCATATGCCGAACACTGTCCCATCCCAGCAACATACAAATATTACATCTACCAGCAAGAGATGTGCCCCACCACTGGACGTCTACATTACCAGGGCTTCATCTACTTCACAAACTCACGCAGCTTTGATTCGGTCAGACGCGAATTCGGCGGGCTCACCCATGTTGAAACATGCCACGACATCACGGCATCAATCGCTTACTGCAGCAAAGAAGAAACACGCGTCGGAACCCCCGTCGAAGATGGCCAAAAGCCAGAATGCGCACGTCCGAAAGGCTGGTGGCAGCAAATAAGCATTGCACAACTATGGGAAGAGGAGCCGGACTGGATGCTTAAACAACATGGAGCCGTTACGGCGTACCACAAGCAACCTAAAAAAGTATCCTTTGTTCGCCCGAAACCGCAAGTGATAGTCCTGTGGGGACCGCCAGGCACCGGCAAATCTCACACTGCACGCTCAACCCGCGATAATTACTACGTCAAGCCAACCGGAAACTGGTGGGATGGCTTTGGTCAGGACCTCGTCATCTTCGACGACTTTTACGGTACTGAAAAGTACTGCGATATGCTAAGATGGCTTAGCGAGAACCCAATTAAGGTCCCAATAAAAGGATCGATGACTGATTTGCTAGCCACAAAATTCGTTATCACCAGCAATGTCGAACCACAACGTTGGTACCCGCCTGGACGACCGCCTCACCCGGATGGGCGGTCAAATTTCCGAGGTGATCGCCCTCCTCACCCGGCAAAACAACCATCAAAACAACAATAGTTAATTAGCAACAGAACCGATCGCTCAAAAAAACCATTACAGGGGGACTCCGGTTGAGGGAAGATGGGTTGGGGGGCCGGGGCATCGCTGTTGTCGTTGTTTTCGGGTTCGGCATCGTTGTTGACGGCCGTGATGTCCAGTAGGTGTCCTCACTGACCGTCTCACTCGGATGAGCGACAACCTCGCAGGCAAAATTTCTGCGGTGATCGCCCTCCTCATCCAAAACAATAACCGCTAGTTAGTCCGTTAACAGAATAAAGAGACGTAGTCCGTGGCTGAAAAACCACGAGATGTAGGCTCCAAAAAAAAGAACCAGAGGGATAGACTCGGCCATTCGCTCTCGGAGCATTTGTTGTTGCGCTTGCTTGCGTTCTTGTTCCGAGCTCAGCGGGGTCATGTCCTGCATTTTGTCCAGGATGGGGAGTTTGCCGAAGACGTGCGGGGACGTGTTTATCGCGGAGTGGGGCGTTACGTTGTGCAGGCGAGTGGCTGCATCTACCGTTAGTTCTATGTCTCTGATGCCTTCTTGCCATAGGGCCTTGAGGACGTTGTGTAGTTCTTGGTGAGAGGCTTCGTTGATGCCGTTTGCTTGCGGTCGGTACGGCGCGGCGGTCAGGCGCTTAAATCCTAGTTGGTACGTTGCCTTGGCGCGGAAGGTTTCTCGGAAGCTGTTGCCGTTCTCCGTCAGTACTATTCGCGGGGGCCCGAACGGGACTACCCAGTGCCGATAGAAGGTCTGGAAGGTCTGCATGGCATCCAACGTTGAAACGATTTTGGCCATCATATATCGGGTCGCGTGGTCTATGATGACGAGGATATTCCAGTCGGCGCCTCCCGCGTGTATTGGTCCCACGTGGTCGAGTGATACGACGCCCATGGCGGCGGCCTTTCCCAGCGTTCCTGCCGGTAGTCCTTGCTGGTGCACCGGTGGTGTCTTGAGTCTCGCGCAGATGAGGCACTCTCTGATCATTTTTTCGATGTCCTGGGCGCAGCTGGGCGCAGCTGGGCCAGTAGTATAGGGCTTGGACCCTGTTGCGCGTCTTGCCGACTCCCAGGTGGCCGCTCGGACCGAAGTGCAATGCGATGACCAGCCGTGTGCGCAACTGGCGGAACGTAGGTCTTCTTTGTCCTGATGGATCCACCAGAGGCTGTTGTAGTGGAGACCTCGCAGGTTTGGGTTCCCCTTCTCGGCATATGCTTTGACGAAGTCTTCCTTTGTCGGTGGTGCAGGGAGGTTGAGCAGTCGGGGCACCACACAGCTGCGATCGTCAGTGATATCCGGTCCAATAGTGCGTCGTCTCCTTCGTCGTCGCCGGCGCATCTGCTGAGCCAGTCGGCTGTGTTGTTGGACTCGCCGGAGATGAATTCGATGGTGAAGTCGCTTAGTGCGAGTGCCCATTTGAAGACCCTGCCCTTGTCCACCGCTGGTGAGTTGCCGTAGGTTGTTGTGGTC